CGCTGCTCCGGGAGAAAAGTGAAGACACCAGCAGCCCAGTTTTCTTCTTTAAAGGAAGTTTGTGGTTATGGAGAAAAGTTTGAAAAAGTGACTCTGACGAGTTCTAAACCCACAAGGAAAGGACGTGGACGCATTAGAGAAGGGTCAGCGGAGGGCGACCAAAATGCTGAGGGGGCTGGAGCACATGGTCTATGAGGAGAGGCTGCTCCGGGAGAAAAGTGAAGACACCAGCAGCCCAGTTTTCTTCTTTAAAGGAAGTTTGTGGTTATGGAGAAAAGTTTGAAAAAGTGACTCTGACGAGTTCTAAACCCACAAGGAAAGGACGTGGACGCATTAGAGAAGGGTCAGCGGAGGGCGACCAAAATGCTGAGGGGGCTGGAGCACATGGTCTATGAGGAGAGGCTGAGGGATTTGGGTTTGTTTAGTCTGCAGAAGCGAAGAGTGCGGGGGGGATTTGAGAGCAGCCTTCAACTTCCTGAAGGGGGGGTCCAAAGAGGAGGGAGAGAGGCTGTTCTCGGTAGTGATGGATACAGAACAAGGAGCAATGGTCTCAAGTTACAGCGGGGGAGGTCTAGGTTGGAGATAAGGAAAAGCTATTTCCCTAGGGGGGTGGGGAAGCGCTGGGCTGGGTTCCCTAGGGACGGGGTCTTTAAGCCAGCTTGACAAAGCCTTGGTCAGGATGACTGAGTTGGGGTTGGTCCTGCCTTGGGAGGGGGCTGGACTCGATGACTCCGAGGTTTCTGTCCACCCTGGGATTCCAGGAAGGCAAATCGAGAGCCACCGCTACGCGTGTAAACTGGCCTCATGGGTTTTTGGAACCCGACTGTGATTTGTGAATGTTTGGGGTTGGCGGAAGTCGCTCTGGTTTGTGCGGCAGCGTGTCCCTTGCTGAAGGCGCACGCCCTTCCTTTGCTGCACTGTGCATTGCGTAGGGATGGGCCCAAGAGTGGCTGCTCCGGGGTGCAGGGAGAGCCTCGGGGACGGTCGGTGCCCAGGCGGGCTGTGCTGCTCAGGGACTGGAGCTTCCTTCTTCCGCTGGGTGAGAACTCTCCCTCGCTCAGCGCTTGGCCGGGGCAGCGGCTGCTTTGGGGCGAGCCGGACCTTTCCACCTCGTGGATGAAGGCTTTGAGAGAGAAACGCTGACAATACGTGCTCCCCGCAGCCTCTTGCCTTTGTAACCCGGCCGGGGAGCGGTGACCTCCCGGTTTGTGTCTCTGTTGGAGAGCCATCCACGTCTCACTGGTGTCCCCTTTGCACAGACTGTCTGAAAGGGCTGACTCATAGCACGCTCTGGTGTTTGCTGCGCCATTCCTGGCCTCTCTCGCTGCACAAGTAACATTTTCCTTTTGCAAACTCTCTGTTACAAGTGACTTCTTGCTGCTAAAAGTAGCCAGGGATTTAAAACAGAAACCACTTTACCGACAGGATAGGATACACAAAGAACAAGTTAAAAATCACATAGGAAAGTTAGATGTCAGCAAGTCACCAGGTCCTGATGAAATGCATCCCAGGATACTCAAGGAGCTGATAGAGGAGGTATCTGAGCCTTTAGCTATGATCTTTGAAAAATCATGGCAGACAGGGGAAATTCCAGAAGACTGGAAAAGGGCAAATATTGTGCCCATCTATAAAAAGGGGAATAAGAACAACCCAGGAAACTACAGACCGGTCAGTTTAACGTCTGTCCCAGGGAAGATAATGGAGCAGGTAATTAAGGAAATCATATGCAAACACTTGGAAGGTAATAAAGTGATAGGGAATAGCCAGCATGGGTTTATGAAGAACAAGTCATGCCAAACTAATCAGATAGCTTTCTTTGATAGGATAACGAGCCTTGTGGATAAGGGAGAAGCGGTGGATGTCATATACCTAGACTTTAGTAAGGCATTTGATACGGTCTCGCATGATATTCTTATTGATAAACTAGGCAAATATAACTTAGATAGGGCCACGATAAGGTGGGTGCATAATTGGCTGGATAACCGTAGTCAGAGAGTTGTTGTTAACGGTTCTAAATCCTGCTGGAAAGGGATAACAAGTGGAGTTCCGCAAGGGTCTGTTTTGGGACCCGTACTATTCAATATCTTCATCAATGATGTAGATATTGGGATAGAGAGTACGCTTATTAAGTTTGCAGATGATACCAAACTGGGTGGGGTTGCAACTTCTTTGGAGGATAGGGACATAATTCAAAATGACCTTAGCAAGTTAGAGAAATGGTCAGAGGTAAACAGGATGAGGTTTAATAAAGAGAAATGCAAAGTGCTCCACTTAGGAAGGAACAATCAGTTCCATACATACAAGATGGGAAGCGACTGTCTAGGAAGGAGCATGGCAGAAAGGGATCTAGGGGTCATAGTGGACCACAAGTTGAATATGAGTCAACAGTGTGATGCTGTTGCAAAAAAAGCAAATATGATTCTAGGTTGTATCAACAGGTGTGTTGTAAGCAAAACTCGTGAAGTCATTCTGCCGCTCTACTCTGCACTAGTTAGGCCTCAGCTGGAGTACTGTGTCCAGTTCTGGGCGCCACATTTCAAGAAAGATGTGGAGAAATTGGAAAGGGTACAGAGAAGAGCAACAAGAATGATTAAAGGTCTAGAGAACATGACCTATGAAGCCAGGCTTCATGAACTGGGCTTGTTTAGTTTGGAAAAAAGAAGATTAAGGGGGGACATGATAGCGGTTTTCAAATATCTAAAAGGGTGTCACAAGGAGGAAGGAGAAAATTTGTTCCTCTTGGTTTCTGAGGACAGGACAAGGAGTAATGGGCTTAAAGTGCAGCAGGGGAGGTTTAGATTGGACATTAGGAAAAAATTCCTAACTGTCAGGGTGGTCAAATATTGGAATAAATTGCCAAGGGAGGTGGTGGAATCTCCCTCTCTGGAGATATTTAAGAACAGGTTAGATAGACATCTGTCAGGGATGGTGTAGACAGAGCTTGATCCTGCCTTGAGGGCGGGGGGCTGGACTCGATGACCTCTCGAGGTCCCTTCCAGTCCTATTATTCTATGATTCTATGACAGAACTACCGATTGTTCTGAGCTCAAAGCCGAGGAGAACGGGGGGAACGTGGCACAGGGATCTGGATTAGCTCAGTAGGGCGCTCAGGAGCAGGGGTGTAAAATCCTGGCCAATCAGTTCAACATTATGTTTAACCAGTCAGCTGATTAAACAGGGGCAGTGGGGCTGGAGCGGCCCCCCCACCATGGGCAGGAGCTGCTCTGGCCAGACGGGCCTGCTGTGGATGGGGGCTGCCCCGCTGGGCTGGGGCGCCTCTGCCTGCAGGCCCGGCAGGCCCGGTAGGAGTGATGCTCACTCCCGTCCCTGCTCAGGAGTCGAGCAGACAAACCCTGGGTCCCACCTTCCCGCTGCGCACTTGTGACATCACGGCAGAGCAGCATTCCAGGGCGCAGGAAGTTTCAGGGCTTGGACCTGCAATTATGAATGTCACTAATTAGCCCTGGGAGCTTCATGGGCCTGTTGGGAGGGAGTGACTCAGGGGCTTACATAACGATCGCTGCCCTGTTTCCAAACCCCGCTGCCTCGTGCCTCACCGGGGCGGCGCTGCGCCGTGGGGCCGGGCCGAGTTCCAGGGTGGATGCGCTTGGACAAGGGGCCTGCAGTCCCCAAAAGGAGAAACACCAGAATGACGCGGCCTGAGGCTTTTCCACCCCTACAGAAGACACCTCTTTGCCCGTGGTACCCTGGAGGTGCATCTGCATCCAAAGCCAGCCAGCTCCTTCGGGAAGCCCTGCTATTGGGCCTTGCTGGCTGCCGCCCTGGCTCCTGCTTTACCAAGGCCGGTCCTTTGGTGGCCTCCTTCCCCTACTGCCAGCCGGCCCCACGGGCTCCCGGGCCAACTGCGTGAGCGACGGTGTCTCCTTTCCCCGCAGGTCAGTCTGACTCCGCCAACCAGCCACCTTGCTCCCGAGCCCTATGCCTCCTGAGCCAGCCGCTCCATCGCCACCCTGTCTGCGCAGCCCCGAGGGAGTGTCCGTGGGAACCACTGCACGCCGTGCACGCCAGAGCCTGCGGAGAGATGCTGGGGCCCAGCTCCCGCGTGTCCCTCAGTCCCCGCACAGGGACCCCGCCGGGGTGGGCTTGGCTAGCCTCCGTGCAGAGCCAGCCGTGATGGAGAGATGCTGGGGCCCAGCTCCCGCGTGTCCCTCAGTCCCCGCACAGGGACCCCGCCGGGGTGGGCTTGGCTAGCCTCCGTGCAGAGCCAGCCGTGATGGAGAGATGCTGGGGCCCAGCTCCCGCGTGTCCCTCAGTCCCCGCACAGGGACCCCGCCGGGGTGGGCTTGGCTAGCCTCCGTGCAGAGCCAGCCGTGATGGAGAGATGCTGGGGCCCAGCTCCCGCGTGTCCCTCAGTCCCCGCACAGGGACCCCGCCGGGGTGGGCTTGGCTAGCCTCCGTGCAGAGCCAGCCGTGATGGAGAGATGCTGGGGCCCAGCTCCCGCGTGTCCCTCAGTCCCCGCACAGGGACCCCGCCGGGGTGGGCTTGGCTAGCCTCCGTGCAGAGCCAGCCGTGATGGAGAGATGCTGGGGCCCAGCTCCCGCGTGTCCCTCAGTCCCCGCACAGGGACCCCGCCGGGGTGGGCTTGGCTAGCCTCCGTGCAGAGCCAGCCGTGATGGAGAGATGCTGGGGCCCAGCTCCCGCGTGTCCCTCAGTCCCCGCACAGGGACCCCGCCGGGGTGGGCTTGGCTAGCCTCCGTGCAGAGCCAGCCGTGATGGAGAGATGCTGGGGCCCAGCTCCCGCGTGTCCCTCAGTCCCCGCACAGGGACCCCGCCGGGGTGGGCTTGGCTAGCCTCCGTGCAGAGCCAGCCGTGATGGAGAGATGCTGGGGCCCAGCTCCCGCGTGTCCCTCAGTCCCCGCACAGGGACCCCGCCGGGGTGGGCTTGGCTAGCCTCCGTGCAGAGCCAGCCGTGATGGAGAGATGCTGGGGCCCAGCTCCCGCGTGTCCCTCAGTCCCCGCACAGGGACCCCGCCGGGGTGGGCTTGGCTAGCCTCCGTGCAGAGCCAGCCGTGATGGAGAGATGCTGGGGCCCAGCTCCCGCGTGTCCCTCAGTCCCCGCACAGGGACCCCGCCGGGGTGGGCTTGGCTAGCCTCCGTGCAGAGCCAGCCGTGACGGAGAGATGCTGGGGCCGTGTTTCTCAGTCCCCACAGGTGCAGGGGCGAGGGGGCCCCCGGGCAGGAAGGCGCTAGGGGAACGAGGCCTCTCTCCGTGTGCGCTAGCAGGGTGTGTGCCCTGCCTCTCCGTGGCCTGCTGTCTGGAGAGCCAGCCCCAGTGGGGAGCCCCTGGGCTGGAGAAGAATGGGGCACGCCAGGGACCCCTACAAGCAAGAGATGCTGGGGCCTGGCCCCCACGTGTCCCTCGGTCCCCGCGCAGGGACCCTGCCGGGGTGGGCTTGGCTAGCCTCCGTGCAGAGCCAGCCGTGATGGAGAGATGCTGGGGCCCAGCTCCCGCGTGTCCCTCAGTCCCCGCACAGGGACCCCGCCGGGGTGGGCTTGGCTAGCCTCCGTGCAGAGCCAGCCGTGACGGAGAGATGCTGGGGCCGTGTTTCTCAGTCCCCACAGGTGCAGGGGCGAGGGGGCCCCCGGGCAGGAAGGCGCTAGGGGAACGAGGCCTCTCTCCGTGTGCGCTAGCAGGGTGTGTGCCCTGCCTCTCCGTGGCCTGCTGTCTGGAGAGCCAGCCCCAGTGGGGAGCCCCTGGGCTGGAGAAGAATGGGGCACGCCAGGGACCCCTACAAGCAGGCGCACGAGTGACTGTGTTTCTCCTCCCACCCCAGTGGCGCCGGCGGCGACGTGCACGGTCTCCTCGTGCATGAGCCAGAAGAGGCTGGCGCTGATCCTCTGCCTCTCCTTCCTGATCCTCCTGCTGATTGCCCTCATCCTGCTCTGTGAGTCTCTCCCTTCCATAGCCGGCTTGCGTGGGCCCAGGCCAAGTCCCGGCACCGCCCTGGGGGCAGCCGCGTGCCTGTGCTCGGGGTCTGGGCAGGCCCGGCACAGCGACTGGCCCGGGGCTGTAACCCGAGGGGACCGGTCTGTGTGCCGCACCTGGACAAGGAAACGGAGGAGTGAATACAAAGGCCCGCCCTGGTGCCGGTGGCTCCGGAGAGCCAGAACCGAAAGCTGCCCAGCGTGTGCTGCCTCCCGCCTGCTCCCGGGCTCCTGGGCAACCAGACCTAGGTCTGAGCCGCCGCGTTTGCCTCAGCTCCCAGGCGCCCCGGGAGCCCGAGGCTGGCCAGACTTGGCTTACTGCAGGGGGCATGCGCTGGGCAGCTCGGATTTGGGTCCAGAGTGCCCCGGAGACTGAAGGTGGTTCAGCTCTGATGTCCATCGAGGGCCAGCGTGACGGGCTTGGGCACATGGGCTGAATTTTCTTCCCTCCCCTCCCCCTCGGGGTAAGAGCATTGACTCCAGCGTGGTGACAGGCTAGCAGGGGTTACTCAGGAGCTGGGCTGGTCTCCCCTCCGCCGCGCTCCCCCTCAGAGCCCTCTGGGAGGGGGGAGGGGTGTCCCTGCCAGCCCGGCCGCAGCCTGGGAACAGAGGCTAGCCCAGTTAGCGCTGCCTGGCTGTCCGGGGGCAGGGGGCTGCCGCCCTGCGCACATGGCCCAGGTGCCTCCATCCATCTGTTTCTGGAGTTTTCCTGACATCTGCTGGGCACCGGGGAGCGAAGGGTTTTGCTGGGAAATTCAATCAAGCCGGGTGGCTCGTTCTGGCTACGTGCTGAGCTGCCACGTGCCCTGAGTACTCGCAGGCCAGTGGTTCGCTGTGTCGATAAGCCGCCCGGCACTTTCCATTTCCTGCCAAGATTTCCAAGTGCAGCCACAGCTACCAGCACTATGCAAAGCCCTTCTCCTCCCTGCCTGTGCCAGGCTGCTCTTGCAAGGGACGAGGGACTTTTCTCACGTACCCCTCCCCAGCGGGGAAACTGCCACGTTGAATGCAAATGTAACATCACCAGGCGGAACCAAACCTGGGTCCTCTGGAGCTTAGTGCGTGAGCCTCTCCAGTGTGAGCTAAAAGCCAGCTGGCGCCCGGCGAGCAAACCCATGCTCTGCTCTCTGGCTGGACGGGGGCTCCGGGCCATTCCATGGGACAGCCCCACAGCCAGCAGGTGTGTGCGCTGCACAAGTACAATCACTGCTTTGTTGGCAGTAGCGCTGTGGGGCACTAGGGCTGTGGGGCTGCCTGGGGCACTAGCTGCCAGCCCCACATGTCAAGGTCTGTGTGCTGGGGGCTCTGCTGCCACCCAAGCCTGTCGGGGGAGGGGGGTTTTGCTACCAGCTCCATGCCCCCGGTCCAGGCTGCCAGCCCCACATGACAGGGCTTTGCGGTGGGGGTGGGTGGACAATGGGAGGGGCTGGATTTCAGCCCCCCACTCACCAGAATGTTCCCAGGCCAGTGGGGTGGACGAACGCTGTCTGCATAGGAGCTGACTGGCAGCATTTACACTCAGCGACTTGTAGTGGCCAATCCGCAGAGAGAGAAACGTTATTTTCCAGGCTTCCCCCAGTGAGGAGTTTGGGTTTTTTCAACTCCTCTGTCAGATCTAGCTGCTAGGTTTCCTTTGCTCAGCTGCACTTCGGAGCCCTGCTGCATCCCGCGGATTCAGAGCATTGTTACTGGGCACATCCAGATGCAAATTAAAAGTGGGTGCAGTGAGGATGGAGAGTGGACGGAGCTGACCCACACGCAGCAGCTCTGGATTGCCCGGGGGTGGGGAGCGAGCGAACTGAGACTGGCCCAAAGCAGACTCTGGATGCAGAGGACTGGCCCCGCCCCAGACATGCCCAGGCAGCTTGGGCCCGTAACAGTCTGAGGTCTGAGCGCCAGGCTCCGACGGCGCAACCCGAGTGGGGCTGGGCCCTTTTCCAGCGAGACCCCGTCCGTGGGGACTCACGTGCCCTGAGCGCTGGTGCAGGGGAGCCCAAAGGTGCCAAGGGAGAGTCAGTCGACTTCCACCGGCCGCCCGGCTTTGCCTGAGCCCCGTGCAAACCATCCAGGGGCCGCGTGTGCTCTGAGCGCAGGCGGGTCGGGGAGCCTCGGGCACAGGCTGCATTCCCAAGGGGCATGGCCTGGCGGCTTCCAGCCCAGGTTTGTCTGTGTCTGGCTTTCCAGGCAGTCCCTCATGGGGCCGGGGTGGGTCGGGTGGGTCGTAGCGCTGACATAGGGACAATCAGGGTTTGAGGGGGGCACCGGGCTGAGCGGCCTGCTCCTTCCTGCCGGCACAAAGAGAGGGTTACCTTGGAGCTGGGGGAGTGCGCTTGGGGAGCATCCGCTCCATGGCCTGACCGGGACTTTGGAGCAACCACAACAGTGACTGCTCCTGAGAATCCAGCGCAGGTTTTGCCAGGGGAGTTTGGCCCCCGCAGCCAGGGCAGGTGTGGGAGCGAGTGCCTGGCCAGGGGGGTTGGCTGCAGGGAAGCCCCCGGGCCCCCGCCTCCAGCCCCCC